TGCTGCCCGACGCATGCAATTCGCTCTACTCACGCATCGAAACCGACCCGAAACTACCTCGATTGTCCACGAGAAACCCTCGGAGGTTGCATGCGATGGCAGGATGGACTCGTTTGTATGGCAGCGAGGAAAACTCATCGGCCGCGGTCGCTTTGGCAAGGTGTACGTCGGTATCTTGCTCTCCACGTAAGATGTCATTCACTCCATCGCGTCTTCCAACGACATCGACGCAGGGCCACGATGATGGCGGTCAAGCAAGTGCGAGTTCGCGACGAACGCGGGCTCGACGAGATCGAAGGCACGTTTGTTCCCGAGGAAGAGGAATCCATCGAGAACATCCTGGGTGAAGTGCGCATCGGGCAGTCTTTGTACCATCCGCACGTCGTCGAGTACTACGGCGCTGGTACTCCGCCGCTGCCGCTTCCCCGATTGACTCGGTTTTGTTCAGAACAAGAAGGCAACATCTTCAGCATCTTCATGGAATACCTTCCTCTTGGGTCGATCAGCGGGTAAGGCCGCTCCCCCCCCTCCAAAGCCCTACCTGAAGCGACGCCGTAGCTTGCTCAAAGCATGCGGTCCCCTCGACGAGTCGATCGTGCGTGCGTATACGTACCAGCTCCTGCAAGGGCTCGTTTACCTTCACAGCCGCGGAATTGCCCATCGCGATCTCAAATGCGCCAACTTGCTGCTGTCCGACGCGGGGTGCCTCAAAATTGCCGACTTTGGCGCTGCCACGGACGCCCTCTGCGGAGGGTTCGTTGATGAGGGCATCCACCATCGGTACGCGTCGTGCCCGCCGATCGCGCGTGAACAACCGTACAGGTCGTCGCAAGATGGCGTCGGGTCTCCGTTTTGGATGGCGCCAGAGAGTGTCAAAGCCAACGGAAGCGGCAGCAGCGGGTGGACCAAGTCGGATGTGTGGAGTGTGGGGTGCTGTGTCATCGAGATGGCGACGGGCACGCCCCCTTGGGTACGACGCAGTTGAGGCCATTCGTAGCTCACGACCTGGCAGAGCAACTTTTCCAACCCGTTGACCGCCATGTTTCACATTGCGTCGGAGACGGCCATGCCGACGATCCCGGCGCATCTGTCTGACGCTGCGCACGCGTTTTTGGCGTTGTGCTTTGTCAAGGACCCGGCATTGCGCCCGACGGCACTCGACTTGCTCAGCCACGCGTTCGTAGCGACCGTGCCGCCCTTTGGCCCAACGTACTTGTGGTTCAACAGCACAACCAAACCGCTGGACGGCGGGTGGTGGTGGTTCGACCATGGAGCGCTCGTGTGGACGTACTCAGTGCGCGTCCTTGGCGGGGTTTGGTTCACGACCGAGGCATCGGACGGCAATTGGGACTGGCGACCCGATGTACCTGATGCCGTCGTTGAAATTGCTCGCATGTGGCTGCATCGCGTGCGCTCCAGCTCGGTCGAGACTCGTCGAGACGAGCAACGACCTGAACGCGTCGCACGAGAACTCTTCTTAAACCAGTCCGAACCTGCTTCGACCGACGCGTTGAGGACGGTCCGCGTCGTCGCCGACTACGTCGCTGCAGACGCCACGGAGCTCACCTTGACGATGAACGACGTGCTCGTAGTCGACAAAGTCGATGAAACCGGGTGGTGGTTTGGAACTGCCGTGGACGGGCGCGCCGGATGGTTCCCGTGCACCTACGTTGAATGGGTGCGAGCCCCCGACAACGTCTTGGGTCTTGTTCGCGCGCTGGGGACGTACGAACCGACGTCAGAGGGAGAGCTGCACCTACAAGACCACGATCTTGTCCAAGTGCTCGAAACGCCGAGCGACGGATGGTGGCGAGGCCACGTCGTCCATCCCGCTCTGTCGTGTACGGAAGGCTGGTTTCCGTGCACGTATGTCGAGTGGCTGCCGTTGGTCGAAGTCACGTGGATGCACTCGAACGAGTGGGAATTGCACGTCGAGCCAGGGGATGTGATTGGAATCTTGAACCACGACGAAAATGGATGGACCGAGGGCTTTGTTGTCCATCGGGCACTCCACAGCGTGCAGAGCGGCGCCGCGCACGGCTGGTTTCCCACCACCCGCCTAAACCCGAGCATCGACGACGGGGGTTGCGATACAAAGAGTCAAGACAGCCACGGCGAGTCGGACGAAGAATACGTGTTGGAGTACCAAGACGGCAGTGCCCTCGACATTTGACACGTCGTTCGAACTAGTGCAACTCATCTTGGGCCACGGCACACAACTTGGCGACGACGTCGTCTCGACTTGATCCGATCGTGTCGACGGTTGTGTTTGTGTAGTGGGTCGTTGTGACGTACTGCCTCGACGGTTCGAATTGCACGAGGCCCAACATCACTACGCAGCCACGCGCGTCATCCTCGACCAACTTGTGTCGCCAAGAACGTACCTTGGCGCGCCAGCCATGCATCGGTGGCGGCGTATTCGAGTTGGTCCGTCGTCAAGTGTGGCGCTTCCCAGTTGGACGTCTGCATGGCCTTGGAGATCTGGATATTGTGCCAGATCATCCCGAGCGCGCGGAGGTTGGGCTTGAGGCATCCGATCTTGGTCGCCACGGGGAGCGTGTCGACCGTGTTGACTATATGCGATGCCATGCGGCAGTCGCGCAACGATTTGAAGTCGAGGGCACAGCCATGGCCGACCTTGATCGTGTCCTTGTTGGCCAGGACGTGCTGCAGCCCCGGAAACTCCAACGTTGGATCTAAACCGTACTTAGACACTATTCCACGCGACCGCGTCGTTGCTTACTCCACGTGCCACTCCACCGCACCCGATACAGCAACGCGGTGTCGTGGCTCGCCAGTTGGACCAACGCAATCGGACTGGATGCATGGTGCCGAAATAAACTGGGCTTCGTCTCGCAGTCGATGCCGACAACGGACATGCTTTCTAGCGCGACGCGGTGGTGCATCTCGTCTTCGACGGTCGACACAACATGGATAGTCCCGGGAAACACGCCCACGGGAACTTTGTCTTCGTAGTCTACCATCGACTTGTTGCCAAAACGATCGAGCGCGGCGCTGTTTGGTCGAAAGATGGGCTGTGCCAAGTACTCTGGTGTGGACGTGCGCTCGCTCTTCTTGATCATGATCTTTTCCCACCGCCGTATTTCTCGTGGCGATGGCTCCCTCGGCCCACCTCGCACTTTGTCTTCGAACGCAGCAAGATGCGCATTCAAATGAGCAAGAGTTTTCTTACCGAAGCTCGAGCTCAAAGACACACCATCCTCGTCGTACGAAGTCCCTTTTCGGGAGGACCGCCGGCTGGAGAATCGCCGGACGCCGCGATGGAGCATGGGATCACTTGGTGGTGATCGTGATTCGCATACTTCGAACTACGCTATTCGAAGTTAATATGATGTTTCATTGGTGAGTTTCCGAAGAAAAAGACACTGCGAAGGTCGACACATTCAGCGCAAATTCGACGGATTTTATCCAAAAAGTGTTGCAATTTCTTCAATTCGACATTCATAAAGTAATCCAGAGGAAGATGCTCCGTAGGCGTTGACAGCCCTCGTTCGAAAGCTATGAATAACACCAACGTTAAGAGGAAAACTCTGGGCATGGCGTGTCCACACACCGTCCGTACTATCCACGCGAAGTTGTAGATATTCACAGGGAACTGCACGTGGTTTCGGACGTATTTTGGATATTTTTGCACGTTTGAAGAAAAATCGATGTTGAAATGGGTGCGTTTTATAGAGCATCGGTGCGTGTCTTGTGGTTCTCAACGGGGGGTGTTTCGATTTTCTGGATTTTAGCCAATGAGAATGCAGAGAGTCGAACACAGGCATTTCGTATACCTCATTTCTTTCCTTGGTCGGTGATCTTCCATGTCCAGCGTCCGCACAGTCAACCCGAACGCTGAAGTCGTCGCGCGCTCCCAAGCTCTCCTGGTTAATGTCAGCGCTGCCCGCGGTCTGCAGGGCGTGCTCAAGTCCAACTTGGGCCCCCGTGGAACCCTGAAGATGCTTGTTGGTGGTGCCGGCCAAATCAAGCTCACAAAGGACGGGAATGTCCTCCTCCATGAAATGCAGATCCAACACCCCACCGCCGCCGTGATTGCTCGCGCGGCCACCGCTCAAGATGACATCACTGGGGATGGAACTACCTCGAGCGTGCTCTTCACTGGGGAGCTGCTCAAACAAGCAGAACGATTCCTTTCGGACGGCCTCCACCCCCGCATTCTTGCCGAAGGATTCGAATTGGCCCGCGAAGAAGCCCTTCGTGTTTTGGACAAGATCAAGGTGACTGCATGACCTCGTTGCATTGCCCTCATATTCGTGGACAGGTGGAAAAGCCCAACTTGCTGCACGACCGCGAACTCTTGACCAGCGTCGCCCGCACTTCGCTACGCACCAAGTTGGATCAGCAGTTGGCCGACCAACTGACCGAAATTGTCACGGACGCTGTCTTGACCATCGCGGTGCCTGGGCGCCCTGTCGACCTGCACATGATTGAAATCATGCATGTAGGACCATTGAGCAATTGTGCGCTTTCGTCACGTTGGCGCTGTAGATGGTCCATCAAAGTGCCGCCGATACGAGGTTGATCAAAGGTCTCGTGCTCGACCATGGCTCCCGCCACCCCGACATGCCGTCCGAACTGGACAACTGCTACATCATGACGTGCAACGTCTCTCTCGAGTACGAAAAGAGCGAAGTGAACTCGGGTTTCTTCTACAACAGCGCCGAGCAGCGCGAGAAGATGGTCGAAGCCGAGCGCAAGTTCACAGATGACAAGGTCAAGCAGATCATCGAGCTCAAACGTCACGTGTGCACGGAAGAGAACAAGGCGAACTTTGTCATCATCAACCAGAAAGGCATCGATCCGTTGAGTTTGGACATGCTGGCGAAGGAAGGCATCTTGGCTCTCCGCCGCGCCAAGCGCCGCAACATGGAGCGCCTGACCCTTGCGTGCGGCGGCATGGCGATCAACTCGACCGACGACATGGACGTGAGCATGCTCGGGTGGGCTGGCAAGGTCTACGAACAAACTCTAGGCGAAGACAGCTACACGTTTGTGGAAGACGTGCGCCACCCGCAGAGTTGCTCGATTTTGATTAAGGGTACTCGTCATGGCATGGCTGAAAGCTCACGGCGGTGTAGGTCCCAATGAGCACACGATTGCCCAAATCAAAGACGCTGTACGAGACGGCATCCGCGCTGTGAATAACACACTCGAAGATGCGAGTGTAGTCCCAGGTGGCGGCGCCTATGAACTGGCAGCCCACCGGGCGCTGTATGCGTTCAAGGACACGATCAGCGGCCGAGCGAAACTGGGCGTGCAGGCATTTGCCGATGCCCTGCTCATCATCCCGAAGGTGTTGGCGGAAAACTCGGGCCTGGACGTCCAAGACGCGCTCTTGGCGTGCTTGGAAGAAGGCGCCAAGTCGGGCGAGGCCGTCGGGCTGGACCTGTTTTCGGGCCAGCCCATGCTCCCGTTACAGGAAGGCATTTTGGACAACTACCGCGTGAAGCGCCAGTTTATCCACTTGGCAACGGCGCTGGCGTCCCAGCTGCTGCTTGTCGACGAAGTGATGCGGGCAGGACGACAAATGGGCAAGAGCCAACAACCAGAAGGCCCTCAAGACGATTAGATAGATTAAGAAACAATGGGAAAAAGGCATGACGATGGACGTACTCTTCCAGACGAGGCGATGGCCTATCGTCGTGCAGGATGCCATTGCTGGCGTCCACTGCAGGTATCAGGTGCTGTTACCCAGTGCCAAGTGGTGTCCATAAGAGTGCTCGTTGAGTTCCTGTGGATGTCAATGCAGATGAACTAGGTTGTGCAACGCCGGGGAGCCCATTCAACACACAACTGCTGCACTGAGCTCAGTGCAGCAAGGCGGTTCGCAGAAGCGTGTTCCGGAGGGTGTAACCACGCGAGGCTGTGGGCGGTCTCACTCACCGTCAAGTACCAAACTGCTGCCCAGTCGCCGAGACATGCTTTCGCCGCGTTGATCCCTTGGACGTCGTCGCATGTGGAAATGTTTCGACCTGTTGACCGCGACCGGATGACAAATTATCCGGATAGCCTTTCGATGGCCGGCGCCACCATGACGCGCAACATGATGAAGAACATGTTTCGGGAAAGCGACGACGAGAGCAGCAGCAGCGACAGTAGCGAAGACGAGAGGCCCACGGAAGAGCTCCCACGAGACGGAATATCGAACGCTCCTTTGACTGCCGACAACGACACGTTGGCGTTCACGAGCCTCTGCCATGACTTTCAGGTGCTCCTGAAGGAAGATCGAAAGAAGGGAATTGCCCATCAGCTCTGGCCAGCCGCCACGTTTCTGTCGCACTACCTCGAAAAACATGCCGAGACGATGCTCCCCACTGGCACGAAGGTCCTCGAACTTGGCGCTGGGATCGGCCTCTGCGGTCTGGTCTGCCACAAGTTGCACGCGACGTCTGTGATTCTCACAGACTTGCCAGTCGCGATGCCTCTTCTTGAGACAAACATACGCCTTAATACAGCAGCTACAGACGAGGCAGGTTCGATGGAGAACTCGGTACGACCAATGGTACTGTCGTGGGGAAGCGACTCAGATTTGGCGATGGTGATGGAGTCGCAAGAGAAAGAAGGAGGACGTTTGCTATGCGTGGCAGCGGACTGCGTGTACTGGGAACATCTCTTCGAGCCATTCTTCCACACCGTTCGAGCCCTCGTGGTGGACCATCGCGTGGATGTGGTGCTGGCTCATGTGAAACGATGGAAGCGAGACGAGCGCTTCTTCAAGATGTGTCGGAAGCATATGAACGTGATCCAACTCGTCGAAGACGTGTCCATGGAGGTACAAGAGCACACGCGAGAGACCCATCGAGTGATCAAGCGCATCTTTCGGCTCACAGCCAAAGCCTAGTCATCGCCGTCGCGACGGCCAGCGCCACCGACTTTATGTCAAATTTTCTGTCCTTTTGACAATATGACCAGTTCAACTATGTTCCCTCCGATTAGTGACTATGTGCCATCTCTCCGAACACATCCACAACACACACGACGGAAGCATCCACGCAATCGAGTTTCACCTCCTTATGACTCCTTCATGCTCCTCTAAAGTCGAGCGTGTGACTTGCGGCGAGTTCTCGCAGAAGTGTGCTGTGTCAAGCTGGTAGTATTCGAGGAAAGGGACGTGGGGACTCGGATGTCATTAAACCCAGGGACGTATTTTGATCATCTTGAAAAAATTGTGTTCGATCGGACGACCAACAAGCATTTGCCAAATGTCGACGGCAGGGAACTCGGCGGCGACTCCACCGTCGACGGTCGTACCCAAGACGAGCTCGTCGTCAACGGGCGCGACACCATCACCACAATCAGGAGTCGTTCCTCCATCAGGTGCATCACCTTCTGCGTTGGCAACCGCCAAGCCAACGACAACAACTCCAATCCCAGCGACCTCAAGTCCACCCAACAGCCAGTCTGAAGGCGGCATGGAGTTTCCTCAAACACCGGACTGCAAAGTCTATTCGAACTCTCCATCCACGTCCACCAACGTACCCAGCTCGACGTCCTCCAACGCACCGAGTTCCCCTGGTCCACCGCCATCGAATTGCGGCAATACCATCGTGGTGCAATGCCCGGTGCAAGTGAATTCATGCGTGTTCACGGTGTCTTCGGTTCCTGCTCAAGTGTGGAATGATACCATGGGCGCGACCAGCACCCACGTTAAGCTCTGCTACAATGCCAGCAACAAGACCAGCCTCACGCTTCCATGTGTCAAGTCCGTTGCCGAGCCCTTCACAACTGCAGCCTCAACAACCGCGCCAACATCGGCCGCCGTGGCGAACGGTTCTTCCTCCGTCGGTGTCATCCTTGGCGGCGTTGTCGGCGGCCTCGTCGCACTTGGTCTCGCCCTATTCTTCTTTCGACGCCGCAGGGCTGCTGCTTCGTCCAGTCAACGTCAGTGTGACGTATCTGCTTACATCCCGCCGCAACCGACAGCAGCTCGGAGCGCGACCGCACCTTCTCCCACGCCCCGTGCCCCACCGTCGGCCGAGTTGGATTACACCAACGTCCGCCACTTGCGACAGTACTTGTCGACCCATCCGAAGCTCGAATCGATGTGGATGGCCGACGTTGTGTCTCCGATTAAAACGACAGCGCTGAAAGGAGCCGAGAGCACCCACGTAACGACGATGGTGGGCACGAAGAAGGTCGTGCTCAAAGGCATGCCATACATGGACGTGTCGCCGCAAATCCGCCAAGCGTTCGTCGAAGGGCTTCTCACCCTCCACGGCAAGTCGCTGCGCCATCGCCACCTCACGACCCTCCTTGGCATGACTCTTGTCGACTCGAATGGCCACACGCTGCTCTGCGGCGCGACCGAGTACATGGACCACGGTTCGATCGGCGCCGTTCTGTTGGATGCCAAGACCCAACTCGACCCGCATCAACAAACGACGATCGCGATCGCGATCGCCGAAGCCATCGAGTACTTGCATAGGCAGCACGGCCTGGCCTTTGGACTGGTTGCCCCCGACAAAATCCTCGTCGACGGTTCTCTCCACACGGTCAAGCTCAACGTGCTCACGCTCCTTGTGCCGTTCTACGATGGGATTCGCACGACCAACTTGCTGAGCAATGCAGGGTCGACCCTCCACATTCCCTTTGTTGCTCCCGAACTCCGACGTCGAGACACATCGCCGACGGCAGCGTCCGATGTGTATGCATTGGCGGTCATGATCGGCTTCATCTTCACGCGGAAACTTCCGTTCAGCACGGTCTACCACGACAAGGGGCTCGTGCGAGGGGACTTGCATCTTGTTCAACACCCCAAGACGATGCCGTACGCCGCCGAAGTGATTCCAGAATCATTCCGAGCGCTGTGGAAAAGTGCCCTGGACGTGGACCCTGCACGCCGCCCCACGGCGTCCCACCTCCTGCTGGCATTGAATGAGCTGCCTCATTAGATATTAAGCATAAGTCCAGGCAACGCAGCGACAAGCACACGAACGGCATCTCTTCACGAGGTGGAGCACCAGCTGCCATTGCTAACAACCTCCTTGGCGTAGGTGCGCAGGTGAATTTTCCCTACATGCACTGAAACGTTCCTCGACAGCTCGGTGAGTTATCTTTCGCCTCCCCTGCCATCACGCATGGCCACCGGTGGCCGTCACCCTCAGCACCTCCCACAATACGTCATCGTCAAACCCACCACTCTCGGATGAGTCACATGCGCAGTAGCGTGGCATCGTACGGTCATGTCTTGGCGAAAGGATAGTGAAGGAGCCACTCGTCCGCGCGCCGAGTCGCGCCTCGGGACGTGTGCTGTATATGGTCAGACCCGCCGAAATATTTCGGGTCCATCGCAATTCATACAAAGTGCCAGTCAAAATAATATTCTCTCCATCGAGGATTAGACTTGATATTTGTATACAAGTACACTCTCAACATAAAAAAGGTCGTTCGACAGAATTCATTGCAATACGGTCACCATGTCACATTCCTATACTACAGAATATATGCATTTTATAGATGAAATCAACACACTCTGGCATTGAGTAAATTTTGCTTCTTCTTTCAATACATGGAATACAAAGATCAATCACTATTCAACACACTAAAATATGCAAATTATCCTCGACCGGCCAGAGGAGCATATCTCCATTATTTTGCTCTGCGGTTTCTTCACAGCGCCAGTCTCATGCATCGAGCAGTGGTGACCGCCGCCGCCATGCTTGGTGCCTCGCTTGCAGCGGACGATAATTGTAGGTTTCTATTACATCGTGTGTCTCGAAGGAGTGATGTCTGTGCATACGTCGTAGCAACGATCATTCCCCCACAGCAAACTCCCCTCTGCAGCGTCATGTGCTTGCCAACGAAGGACGCCAATCCGAATCTGTGCTCGTCCATCAGCGTGAGTTGGGCGAATACATCGCAATGCGCTTCGTTCTACGCAATCTGTCCTGCGAATGCGACCGCATGTGCCCTTGCAACGACAGGTCCCCAGCCTTCGACGCTCCCCAACACGACTAGATCCATGACGTTTGCATCATGCTCTGCAACGCAAAACACGTCGGAGCCCATTCAAGTGCTTCCTTGCGTCGATGAATCGGTTATTACTTTCCCTCCCTCGACAATCGCGCCGTCAACAACGGAAGCATCCATCAACACTCCACGAATCACGACGACTGCGCCATCCCCTACAACAGGCACCACTACGTCGATCTCAGCGACGACAAAGTCATTGCTCAGCATCTTGGGCAGTGTGCTAGCCATTGCTCTCGTATCGTTTTTCATCGTTCACCACCGCCGCCGTCGACTTCATTTGTCGAAAGGGGTACTTCACGACAATGCGCTCAACAGCTTGGACGACGACGAAGGAGCGGCTTACATGACCATGTCCCCCAAACGACAGCTTCCTCCCGCGGCCCCTTTGCACGAGCAGCCGCATTCTCCCACAAGCCCGACCTTCCTCGAATACCTGGACTCGGTCGATGCCTTTCGATCGCTCTGGCTGCCGATGGCTAGCGTCCGCCTGGTGCCAGTCAAGGGCTCCAGCCACGGACTCGTTGCTGCGACAGTCCATGGAACAAAGCACGTGCTCAAGGGCATCGATTACACCACATCGAATGCGACCAACTTGTTCCTCTTTGGTCGCGCCGTCCAACTCGTTCTGGCACTTTCTGCGCACAAAAACTTGACGCGTATCACAGGCGTCGCTCGGATCCATGCAACCCGACAGTTCGCCGTTGCGACCGAATTTTTGAACAAAGGAAGTCTCGGCCACTACGCCGTCCTCTCTGTTCCTGCCCCCGACGTGCGAGTTCAACGATTGCGATTGTGCGCAGACGTTGCCGCCGCCCTCGCTCACCTCCATGCAATCGGCTGCGTGTACGGCATGTTGCACCCGGAAAAGATCCTTCTACAAGAAGAAGCAGAACAAGGAACACTCGTCGCCAAGTTGAACCTGCTTGCAATGATGGACCAAGCGTTCGTCGAAGTGCCGCTCTGTCCCCACCACGTTGGAAGCATGCGAATGCCTTATGTAGCCCCCGAATCGCGTCACGAGGCGAAGACGTCCACGGCAGCTGGGGACGTCTATGCCCTGGGCGTCATCATCGGCCAGCTCCTCAGCGGACGCATGCCCTTTGAAGCAACGTACCATGACCTTGGGTGGGTTCGCGGCGACGTGTACCTCGCGACGCATCCACAAGTCGTTCCGTTTGACTTACAAAAGACAGAAGCCCTTTGCGAGCTTCTCCATGCTTGCTGGTCAGTTGATCCATCTGCGCGGCCGTCGGCGGCTGCCGTGCTGACCGAACTCGTGCGCATCATGCACGCCGAATGACGAACGCCGAGCTCTTCGGCCGTTTTATTGTTAAACGCCATAGTTATTTGAGTTAAACCTTGTAATATTCGCGTTCTTGCTTGCTTTTATAACAATGGCGTTGGCGAGTTTAAGTGGACGAGCAGGTGAAATTTGGACCAATACGGTCGAAATTCATCATGAACCTCGAATTTTCAATCAATTCCTACAAAAAGTTATCTCAGAGGATAATACGTCGGCGGCGATGTTAGACAGATTTTGAAATGCCACGCTAGCCAGGCGGACAAGTAAGCAATCCCAACCTGACGGTGCGCCAGGAAATCTCTTTCGAAGCATTCTCGAACGCACATGGAACGGCCATCTGCCCCCCCGTAGTCAAGGCGAAGTTGCGACAAACGATCTCCAGGCTTTGGAAACGAGGGCGCCAACTTCGTGTCGGCAATTATGGTGTGTCCTGTCTTAGAGAGGAAAGGGAAATGTCAGCTTCTCTATCCTGAC